TATCGCCTTTTTACTCGCCTAGGTCCTACATGAGAGGGAGACCACACGGCTTGCTGTAAAGGAAATGGATCAACTTCTACACATGATCCACGACGAAGTGGGTTCCTCTGACACCTCTCTTTGCACCGCAAGTCTGCCAACCATCAAAAAAATCGGCCGACTTCATGAATCGATGGTATGAACTGCATATTTCGTTTGCCATCTTGCTATTTTAATCTCTTTGATTGCATCATTGGCTTTCTACAATCATTCATGTGATACTAAGGCAGTAAAGTAAACAAAATTCGCCTAGTTGGGCAATGGTTTATGATCACTCCTATTAGCGCAGCCTTTTCTCTGGAAGAAGAGGACGATTGCGTACGCACCAGTCATATATCGCATGGAAAAGCACCAGTGGTTCACATGCGGGCAAACTACACCCAACCCGCTGATTTTCACGTTTTAAAGGAGATCTAGATGATCATAATTGTAAAAAACTGAAAAAATCTTTAAAAAAACAAAAAATCACTATGTATGCGATACACTTTCCGTTTATCTCCTCCACTCCCTTCTAGATGTGTAATAACGGAAGATAATGACTAAGTTACCATGCATAAACCATCAAATGGTCGTAAAAGTGAAGCGTTGTCCATCTGAGCATGTTTAGAAACACAGGGAATGGCTAATAGCATCCTGTATTTGCTTGTGAGGGTCTTCGTAAGTTTTAAATTATTGTCTCTAGCACGCGTTTGGCAGAGTTATAGATCGTATTGGGCCCAACGCCAGGTCGGCCCACCTGTCCACCATCAGGTTTGAAGTTACTTTTGGTGTATAGGGGCGTAGGGCCAATACTAATTTAGAGTTCGCCTTGACAGGCTCATTTCGCTCCAGAAAGCAGCCGCGCTTCAGACTGCCGTGTTCTGTAAAATGCTCTGACCTGTCATGTGGTTAACTTATGGGATAAGTCAGTTGTTCTTTGGATCCTTAGTACTGAGGCTTTTATAGCGTGCATCATGGGTACGAGATCCAAGACCCTCCCATTGCAGCCTAGCACATATTTGGTTCGGGGCCAGATTATTATTGCCAAGTGCAGCAACCTGCTCATCGTTACCATCTCCACTATGATCGCCCCCATCTCCACTACTCTTCGTCGAGATGTGGATTCGGCGTACCTAGCTGTCAAGCTCGCCAGACCTTCCACAAAAAGACGAGACAGCAGAAGGTGAAAATCGTCGGCTCAAGGCCGAATAGCTCAACACGCCACTTTAATTTATGCTCACTGGTTGGCAGTTACCGCTGTGACGTTAATGAGTCGACCAAGCTCTCCGAAACGTCAGAGTTATAATGAATCGTCTCTTGTGAGCCCTTTCTCCTCACCTGCATCACGTGAAAGTGTCGGTCTTTCTTACTACTTCGTCTTTCAGTTAGCATCAGCATTTTGTCTTGAACCTAAGTTAGTAACAGTTCTCCTATCGCTTGTTACTGTTTATCTTAAAAGAAGCTGGACGCGTACTCTGTTCACCATGGCTTAACGCCGTTGTTTCCTGTACGGTTTGTATATCTGATGACAGTATTGACACTAACGGTCAAACCCAGCTGGCTACAAAATCCTTTCTTTTACTCGGAAACCTTTTAGGTTCACTTATTTTCTTATTCTGGGCCGTCTTAGCGGTCCTGTGCATCATTGTGATGAGGGCCAAAATGTGCTGTTCGTACGGCCCCATTTCATAGCCAAGTGTTACAGAAAAGTGCCTTTTAGCGATTGATTTTGGTCAAAGAACTCCATAGTGTGCAAGCAGTCAATTTCTATCTTGTGAGACACTCGCATCGGATCCGCCCGTTTGCCCACTGCAAATTTCTTCTGTAATTCCTCCTTTTGCTTGAGTATTATTGACCAGATTTTTTCGGGTTAAACCTATTGCCTTCAGAATTTACCTCAATTGCAGTGAACACTGTTGACTTTTCAGAACTGGTTGCTACGTTGTGAAAAAAACCGGAATACATGGCTTCAAACCCTACCTAAAGCGGACGCCACGCGTTTTGTGAACGTCACACAGGAACTATCCAGTCTCTCTGACGCCTGTATCCTCATGATTTACCTTGACGTGCGTGTGAAGGCCTTCAATTTGTTCGGAAATCTGCCGCGTCTTGTGCC